TTGTATCCTCCTGGAGTTGTTACGTGGATGGGGGAGCTGCATGTCTGGATGATGATGGCGGTAGCAGTCTATTGGGTGTTTGTGTCTGAGTGGCATGTAATCATGCGCCTTGATTTATACCCAGCAGTTTGTTACGTTAGAGCCGGGGCTGCTCGTCCAGCTAAAGCAAGCGCAAGGCAATGACAAATGTACCCTAAATACACTAATAAACCGTACAAAGGCTATAAGCGAGGCAACAGGGTCTCCCGAAGAAGCAGGTACTACGGCCAGATGTTTGAAATGCAAATAGCCTGAACGGGAACTTAACATTTTGCAGGCTGTTATATGTTTCGATCATTACTGTTGTGGTTCTCAAGGTAAGGTCTGCAGACCATCAGTGGTCCTGTTGGTGTCCTCCGGAACAACGTTCCTTTACTCAGGGTCCGCAAGGGTTATATGAGTAGAGTAGATTCTGTTCTATTAATTTTTAAGTATTTCTGAAAATATAAGCATTTTCATTACATATTCACTTCCTCATCAGAGTAAAAATTACGAAAAAATTTATATATGTAAGTACGCGTTTCCGACGTTCAATAATATTTCAACTTTTTAATATTGTTTCATGAGGCATTGTGTTCACCTTATGTCACTGTTTTGTGTCTTATTGTAGGACCACTGCCACCGGGTAAAAACCCATTTGCAGTCAATAATAAATAATAATAATAATAATAATAATATATGATCGAATATGTAGATTTTAGAGCCATTCAATAAATAAACCTAATACTAACACGTAGCAGTGTAGCTCACTGTATTTTCTTTTTCTCGATTATAAAATTGTTTGAGCGGAGTAACAGCAGGTCTTTGATAGTTACCGTTATTTTGGTGCAATAATGAAATACATGAATATCCAATAAGAATGTAAATGTAATCATATGTCGCTGTCAACAACTTATGAAAATATTGAAAGGCAAGAAATACAACGTCGATTATAACAATGTCTTGCAGCTCAACAGCTCCTGTACTAACGACGCCACTTGCTAACAATATGTCTATCGGGTGTTTCAGAAAGATGATCACAAAAAGGTCAAAGTTGGAGGCAGAGAATGAGAAACACAAAGGCACTGAAATCGTTTCTAGAATTAGGCGTATTCTTATTAAAATAAGCGAAAAACAGGTGTGTTCATAATTACGTACCACAACTTCTTGTATCAATACAAAAAAATTTAATACTTCATTCTATAGAAAACGGAAGGAAAAATAACATCTTGATAACAAGGCATAATAAATTCAAGATGCTCTTTGTTTTAATATAAATCCAGTTATTTATACTAACGTTTCCAAACAGACGAAATTGATTACGTTGCCAAAACAATTATTACTGATGTCACAAACAGCGAATTACTTGTTTAGTCGCACATTCCAAATTTCCTACCTGCTAATTTCATCAGTTTTGTGTATGGCTGTCAAATGTGATCACAATTAAAAAAAAACGAACAGAAATTACGTTCAAGATACGAGGTTATCACAGCGGTGAATATGTCGGTTATGATCCGAGGTGCGGCCCTGTTTAGTACTGCAGGTGGTTACTGACGTTAAACCGACAGGTTGGTAACCAGTCACAGAATTAAACAGCGTCACTACCTAGGAAACCACAAACTACATAAATTACAAGCGTTTGAAACAAAGTACTGAGAAAAGTATTTGGACGCAAGAAGGATTAAGAAAGTAGTAAATTTATGATATCAAGGCTAAATAATGGCGGCATTCGTGATAAATATAAATCACATAATAATGCCAGAACAGTGAAATTTATGGGGCTTGAAGAGGTGGGCATGTTGAGTAGGTTGGGGAGACAAGGAATATGTAAAAAGGTGAAGGCAAGGTCTTGGAAAAGATTCACTTGGAAGAGAGAAAAGAAAATTGGAGGATAACATTAAGAAGAATATTAAGGAACATAGGATATATGTTGGAGCACGGAAGAAACTTGTTCTGGAACGTGTCCACTAGTGGGCTACGTTATTTTCCTGCAGATCTTTTGAATTCTGCTATCACAGAATAAAACTGACACGTTAACATACTAACATTTATGGACCCTAATCATCCTATTAATTAGGAGATTCCTCTTGCATGGCTTAATTATCGCCCTGTTGATGAAGGCAGAAAACCCCTCTGAAACGTCCGAAAATTCTACGTGACTACACGGCGCAACAACCCGGAAGGTAGCAGTCATCTTCACGATCTCACATTTTACAGGTTCCGTAGTCGAACGCAGAACCTTGGAACACCCTGTGCAGTAATGACGAGTATTTCCAAGCTCTCGTAATGAGGCGCCGTGTCCTCACAATTAATATCGACAACAAAACAACTGCTGGCAGTAAAAAATATAATTCACATCTACCAATCACAATGAACTCACAGTTGGATTACTTAACTCTCATTGTGTAATGTCATAAGTTCAAAATCATAATAAATAGTGCGTATGTAACCACTTAATGTATGCAGATTGAAGCATTGGAATTAATTTGACCCCACACACTTTCAAATAACAGACATCACGCACATTGAAACATCATACAAACCTTCATAGCAACTCAGACTTTAATCAGAACACCAGATTCTCATTCTTTAATTAAAAATTCATTGGCCACGGCTGTCACGTAAGAACTTAGCTTCCCGTCTACAAGTTATGGATGGAGGAGATGGTCTCCAGATACAGACAGCCGACAAGGGGTTGTCCTGTAACTAAACTATAGGGTGGGATGGGGGTGGGGTTAATAACTCCTCATCCTGGGAACCTAGCACGTTTTTGATTCTCCATCGGACCTCGGAATTGTGGCTCTTGTAAACACCGAAATGAACCTTCGCTTTCCATAAAACATGGATAAGCTCTTGAAAAGGCGAGCAAATTTAAGCTTATCAAGGACTTTGTTCCATGGAATTACAGATGATTTGCATAGAAATCAGCTACATGTGGTACAAAAGGGTGAATGTACACGCACAGAGCAGCATCTTAAAAGGAAGGGCTTCTTACCTCTGAAATATTCTGGACAAAATATTTTTCTCTATTTAAGAATCTACGGGGAAAAAAGGCATACGTTTTCTTGGTCGAAATTAAATTCTGGATACAAAATTTTATGTAGATGAATGTATAGTCGGATACTTATACACATGGCCCAACTGCCAATTGCCGGAGACTGCATATTCCGTATATATACTAACTTACGTATTGCAAGAAGCGCGTAACTCACCAGCTGTTATTATGTACATTGATAAGATTATTAATAAAAACTATACGGAATGGATATGGAAGAAAGAGGTCATGACCTAAATTGGGGCACTCACCTATGTTCGGAGGGACTAAGGAAAACCACAAATAACCTCAGGACATCCGGGCCCAAATTTGAAACCGGAATTTCCAAATACGAAGCAGGAATACTAAGCATTCGGTCCAGACGTTCGTTAAGAGGACTTTCATCTGACAATTGTTAAAGGTGTGTGAAAATATACTTGACGGAAAATATCTGCAAGCTTCAGATGCATCACAGTAAGAAGCGAAGGGAAGATTGAAAGGGCATGGAGAGAGCGAGACGCCTTGGCACTATCGCTTCCCCTCTCTCTCCGTACCACGCCTGACAACAGAGCTCGGAGATATTTTGCGACAAGTATAGAACTCTACCCGGTCTTAAAGTCGGCATCAGATGAAAGTGAGCGGCCAGCTTTACCTAAGGGGAAAGAGGTCATTGGACAGGAGGATGTGTGGGCCTGCATTCGCGACGGGACTTGAATATGGCTATACTGCAGTGCGTTCCCAAGTGTTCTATAATGCTGTTAAGAATACGTCCCCAAAGTTCCAGAAATTATTAACTAATTAAGTTTACAGTTGTTCTGAGTAGTTTAAGCCCAACAGCGAACCATATCTCACTTCCTGTGACAGCGGATTTGAACGTGAACGGGACCTTCACGGGGTATCATAATCATCATCATCAGCAACAGTATGTCTTTTAACTTCCAGTAGCTTCCGGATAAAGAACTCAGTAGGGCAAAGTCCTTGAGAACATGACAGTCGATCAGCTGTGAACAAATTCAGCGCCTATTACGGACTGTGAAGGGTCATTACCGTAATCACAAGATCCCATCACTGGACCCTGTACTCAGCCAGGAGAATGTGAGTCCACGTCATATTTTATTTCCCTGAGATCCTTCTTAATAACGTCACACCATCCACTCCTATGTCTCCCAAGTGGTAGCTTACTTTCAGATTTTCGACTAAAATTCGAATGCAGTTCTCATCTATCACATAAATGTTACATGTTATATTCCCGCCTAATTCATTATCTTGAATTTGATGGCCTTAATATTTTCGTGCAAGAATGAAACACTGTTGTCATATTTCGTAAATGGTTATTCAACAGCATAATATTTAGTTTCACTGCCGGAAAATATATCACGGTTTATTGTATTATTCTTTTTCTGGTCACGAAGTAATGCCAATAAATGACATTATTAAAATATTTTGTTTGGACATTATCCACTGTCTGTTATTTAAAATTACACAAATACGAACAATTAAAATAATAAAGATGGCTGTCTTCTAGCACCGTTTAATTTCTACCAGACTACGCGGCGTTACAACTTCATAATCCCCGACGTGAGAACCTCAAATCCTAATTAAACAATACTGAACTTATAAAACTGACACTTCGGGACTGGCTGTAGCCAGCTCCATTTCCAGGAAACAAGGTAGCCTACGTATTCAGTAAGCGCCTGTAAATCAATATAATCATTATCAGTACTGATCAGGTAGGTTTGTGTGTCCGCCATGTTGTTACAAAATTAAATCTGATCTGCGGGTGGCCTCCAGTAGCATAACGTTCATACCAAATTCCGTAATAAACTGGTCAATTTCTTTGAAAGTTGGAAAGAGAGGTAAGACACATAGGCAAAGAGAGAGCATGGTGATCATAAAAGTATCCCGTTCTCCTCTAGGAAGTTAAGTAACCCAAAAAGTAATTAATTACCTGTCACAGAGGCCACCTACTTTGAACTTGATAGTCGCCATTTCTTCCTGAAAGAAACATAAGAAATAAATTTAAATATTACACTCTGTATTTTGTAAACGGTAGAGATTTAAGAATGTGCACATTACTATTGCATAACAACACATCCCCCACTCTAGCTCTCTTATTTACTCCACCTGTGTTTCTTTGTTTCCTTTCTTTATCTCGGGAATCTTACATTTTCCCGTGTCACAGTGCAGCAAACACAGAACGCGGATTCATATGTACGACAAGAAATTCTCAACAGTGAGTGGTCTGGAATCTGGAGCTGAACACAGTGCACGTGATGGAGTGCTTCAGTCCTACTCCGAAATGTTTCATCAGCAGCCCATGCATGCGAGGGATAACGCCTGGGCTAATTACAGTTATTGCCTTGCAAATGGCTATTTTCATTACTGGAGAGAGGAAGGGACCCCATAGCTATCATTACTATTAGGTCAGAAATTTATGGACACTGGTCTACCGTGTTATATTGTGGGAGGAGAAGGGTTGACTGTTGCTCCCTCCCTCTCGGTATGTACCAACTCCCTCTGTCGTGTGCATACATTCCACCCTCACCAGTTTATCGTTATTTTATTCTCAAGCATGTTATGAAATATTTCTTCGCTATTCACGTAATCTTTAATGTCACTTAAATCCTATACTATTGTTTCAACAGTTTATTGTCTGGTTTAACGTAGTCACGAGAATTAAATTCAACATTGTCCTGTACATTTAATAGATATACTCCAAGCGGTAGGATGTAAATTAAAGATGGAACAAATAATACAATCAGTCGCTTCATAATCTTTACTATTCAACGCCTATTATTTTTTTTTATTTTACTTGTGGTGTTACAGTTCTTAAAATCTATGCTTTAGGACGGAAATAACTGTAATTAGGATGATAACATTAACCAGGATAAGGTAGACGTGACGTGGCACGCATGAGGGGTGCAATGTACAAAGTACTGTGTTTTACTCGTTTTCAGTAACGTCAAACATCTACGCTTAAGTTTCCCAAGTGGTCCATTCACTTCAGGTTGCCCAATTAAAATTTCTATTTCTTATCTCCCCCATGCGTGCCACATGACACTGATACCGAAATTGTCAATGTCAGTGTGTGATACTAGCTCCGCGCATCTCATTCTCGATTATTTGATAACCCAAATAGATAATATTTGTTTCGGAGTGCAAATTATATAATTCCTTATTACAAGGCAATATAAACCCAAAGAATTTTAAAATTAACTGTAATTAATTTATAATTAATCAACTCTGTAAATGCTTAATGGTGATATCTGTTTTAGTACTGCACTTTTATAAAACAGTGTTTTAAAACTTGTAAACATTTAACACCAGGAATAAGATAAAAATCCTGTAGATACTTAGATAACATTATAATTTTCAGTACATCTACAAAAATATACACAAGCTGTCTTGTACCAGCGTATCATATTATAAATAACTAACTAACTAGATGGCTTACCGAACCCGAAGGTTCATCACCGAATTAACCAAAGCCCTCCACCGGACCCTGTCCTGGGCCAACAAAATCCAGTTTCCTTCAACTCCTATCTCCCATAGATCCCGCCTGAGATTATCCTCCCATCTACGTCAAGGTCTCCCCAGCGGTCTCTTCCCTTCAGGCTTCCCGAACAATACCCGGTGCACACCTCTTGTCCCATCCATGCACGCTACATGTCCCGCCCATCTCACTCTGCTCGACTTAATCACCCTACCTGCAATCTGCGTTCCTCCCTCTGAGTGAGTGACCATGTTTCGCACCCATACAAAACAACAGGCAAGATTATTGTTTTGTATACTTTAATTTTCAGGCTCTTAGAAATCAGACGGGATCATATCATAAATAGAAGCAATAATATGAACATGTTTCCCCACATGTGGGCAAAATGTCACAGGCGACTTGGAAATAAAACAATACTTTAATAAGATTAAAATGTTATACCAAAACCCATAAAAGAGTTCTTGAGGCCAAAATTCTCGGCTACCGGCAAACACGCTAAGATGTAAAACCCACACATTTATACAATGTTAGTTTGAAGGTCAAAAGGTGAGCCACACGTTCGCTGGCCTTCGATGACCTCAAAGTTCTGGCTGAAGCCTCAGAGCTTAGCGCAACTTTGTGTTGTCTGCCAGATGCACACAGAGACCGCACGCATCATCCCACGAAACAATTCCAGCTTCCGCGTCCACTTCTATATTGCTATTCAGTGCATAAGCTCCGAGTAAAACGTGATTCGTGAATTTAATACCTTGTATTTGCAGGACCGTACAGCACGTACGAGTAAGATACAATCGCAGGAAACCACTTAACTGAATAGCTCGGCGGACGAATACGCAGTCGCTGAAAGATTTTCTGCAGGACGTTGCTAATTACAAAGTCACGGATGCATTTCGTAATCCCTGATACGCGAAAAATGTTAACAGTGTACGACAGCGCTTGACAACGTATATGTAAAATTTTGTGCTTAAAATTTGGAAATCGGTAAAACTTAGCAAATACAGAATAGGTGATGCTGAAACGAACAGCGAAAAGGCAAGGATTGTTAAGTAGATGGCCATATCATTAATAAAGCTTCTATAACGATAGAAACCTGTGAAGACTGAGTTAGAACACTAGAGCCCTCAGTCAGGATAGCCTGTAAACCAGTACATTTTTATGCCCGCCATGTTAATATTACTGACTGTACGAGACTGAAATGTGTTAGGTTGGGGTGGCCTCAGAAGCACAGAGTTCTAGCGTTTTTAAATACACACGTTAGAACAAGTCATAACACGGCAATAAACTCATATAAATAAGTCTATATATAATACGCTATTTGTAAAATGCATACCCACCAGACTTTCTCGTACGTGTGTCGTATATTTACCGTGTACGATACGAGGCAGCTTCACAACTCTAAATTTTAGAGACGAAAGTGATGTCTATAATGTAATCCACCCTTCACTTTCAGAGTATAATATCATATAAAAACATGGTAGAGGAAACAGAAGGGAAGGAAAAATGACAGCTAAGAAGCCAAACCCAGAGACGAAGCAAAGGAAGGAGAGGACTACCAAGAATAAGAAGATCAATGTGAAATATGAACTCACTACAAATCTGGAGAGAGGAGACAGCCAGAACGGCGTATAACTAAGCTTCACAATACTGTATAAACAAGGCGACAGTCTGAAGAAAATTAAGTTAGCTCATAATTAAGAAGATAACGAGGACAAGATATCCTATATGAAGGACCGTTAACAACCACCCCCTCCTCCTCTCCTCCACAGTTCCCGAGTGGAGGACTCAGAAAAGGGTTGATGAGGGTTGTAACAGAGCGGTGAGAGCTTATTATTAATGCTTCCAACAAACGGATAAGAGATCGTCTTCTTCGTATGCTTCTTTAAGGACTGAGAGAGAAGAGAGGAAAAAGAGATTTATAATTTTAATTTCCAGTATCATACGCATTATTCATTTCCTCGGTTGGAAGGATTACTAATGAAGCTCAGTTTACAGATAATTATGACATTCTGCAGGTCTTGGAAATTTCTTCAGTCCTTTAGACACATTTTACAGAAGTTGTAAGCTGTTTAATATGGTGCCATTGAGACATGATCAATACGCAATCTAAAACCGGGAAACTGATTCTATGCACGGATGAACGGAAAGGAAAGGCATATCTGACGCAGAAGAGACCACTAGATGGAGTACAGAAACGCGGGCATACACATGGTACCAACTAAATGCGTGAAGTAAAAGGCAAAACTTTTAAACACCATAAAACCTCCTTTAGACAGCGTCTTAATGCTTCATTGGTGGACTGATTACTAAGTGAGATTTCAAGTTCTTACTGTGGTAAGAATTAAGACGACTGTCTTCATGGATGGTAGTATGGTTTCCCAACGTTTCTCGTCCTGAAGATGGAGGCACCAAGCATTTCTGAAACGTTGGTAAATTTCTACCATACTACACAGTGCAACATCCCTGAAGACAGTCGTCTTCAAACTCGCGGACGTAAAAATCTGAAATGTTTATAAAAATCCGACAAAAATAAAGGACTGTTTACATGAAGAAGTATGTGCACTTCTGCTTGCGAAACTGGCCCAAAATCGTCATGTGGGTAACCCGAAGACAACGGCGCAAACACGAAGGAAGGACCCCCGAGACCACGTCATTACCCATCCAGACAAGCGCCAGACACCCCGCACGCTCAAAGGCCATCGGCGTCACAGATGCCATTCATAACAATCAACGGAAAAATTTTTGGCGGACGAGCCAGAATGTTTGCGTGATGCGTGCACTTCCTGACTTCTTATCATTTTTCTTTTGTTCCGGGGCGGACGGTAGCAAATTAAAATCGCACTCACTAATAAATTAAGAGCAGATTAAATCTGGGAAATGCTTGCTACCATGCAATTCATAATTTCTCGTCTGCCCGACTTCTCTCTAAAGCCGAGTCCACACTTGCGCATTCTGCTGCAACGCAACGAGGGGTTCACAGTTCCGTATGTGGACGAGGCGGCGAACATTGTAACTTCGGTAGCGTGCCATCCTATCTTAAGACGCTCCTTGAAAAACGGACACGAGCGTAGATACGTAGGTTGCGCCTTGAAACAAACACAGCGAAGGCTACAGCAACATTGCCAACACGTGCAAGCGTTGTTACGACACGGCTAAATGCGCAAATGTGGATGTGGCTGAAGAACATACGAAACAGCAGCTAACTTTACCTCTTATTATGTATGGGTATAATTGGTCTCACACATTAAGGGACCAGAAGACTCAGGGTGTTTGAGATAAGGGTTAATAAAGAAAAAGACAGGTGAAAATTACATGATATGGAACTTTATAATATGTACTGTTCATAAAGTATAGGATTATAATATAAAAACTAACACAATAAACAAGGCATTTGACACAAATAATATAAATAAGAAGTGGATGTGGAGTTTCTATTGGAAAACATCAATCAAAGACGCCATCTGAAGACCTTGGCGTAGAAGGTGGCATAATATTGAAATTAGTT